TCCAGGTTACTCGCTCTAAAGAGAGTTGTTGTGGTTGCATCGGTGGTGTTATTGGCCTTGTTTGAAATAAACCTCTTTTATTTTGCTCGTTGTTTGTTTGGTTCAGGCTGCTTTTGCTGTGTTTCCTTCAAATCAGGAAGCGCTTATGGCTGCGGAGTGCCGGCTCCTGGTTTTATGGCCTCCATTGCTCTTTTTTGAAGGAGGCGTTCCTTGTGGAGGTGTCCTCGAACATTGTGACATTTAGATTTTTCTCTTGTTCTCTTCGGGTTTTTGTCTTTCACTGTGCTCACAAGTGACTTTGTAAAATCTCTTTTTTTGGGTGAGGCAGGTGTTTTTACGTGCAGATGTTGGGAATCCTTCCTTCTCCATATACCCATCATTTTCTAACCCTGGTAATGGCTTGCATCCCCATGTGCAGGACCGTCCTGGTTCTCCTAACTCCGCACGTATCCAAGTACATTGCACTAATTTTTTCCTTCTTCTGTAACTGTAGCGTTCATAGCTTGAGTGTTTCCTGCCGTTTGTAAATCTTGCAGGGCTTCTGTAACTTCGGTGATGTTTTCTGTCCTAGTGACATTATGAAGTGTTTCGCTCTCAGGGAAAAGACAACAATAGTGGGACCAGTCCAGACAATATAAGGATGTGATGGCACACATCCATTTAAAACAAGACAGGGATTTTCTGTCTCTCAGTCAAAGTGTAGTTACAATAAAGCAATGGATTCATATTGATTATTGACTAATAAAATGTTGACTGGGCCGACTGGGAGATATGGATGCACATATCCTGTAAATAACCGTCATCCAGTACAAGCACAGTTGATTCACATCCAGACTCCAGTGCAGACGTCTTGAGTTAGTCCCACAGACCCGGGTGAAATACAAGCAGCCAGAAATGTGCAGCCAGCATCAGAAACAAGCAGCTCGGACAGGTTGTTTTTATTTATCCTTTTGCTGCCCAGCAGCCTGCAGTATGAGCTGAATTCAGTTTTACCAGACAGATTTAGCTTTAAACAAGAGAGTTTTACTCCTTTGTCTTCTTTATTATTTATTTAATTACGTATTTATTTGTCACCAGGCTGGACAGGGGGGCAGAAATGGGGGTGGGGGCGCAACCATCTTAGAAACAGACACCACGAACAGAGTGTGTGTGTAAGCAGAATGTCACAGAATGAAGCTGTTAATCCATCAATCTTTATTTATATAGCACTTTTCAATCTGTTAAGTATTCTCAACCAATACTATTAAGTGACTTACAAAGTAGTAAAAGGATCTTAAAATCAATTCTAAAATTAACTGGAAGCCAATGCAGGGACTTTAGGATTGGGGTAATGTGTGTTCTCTTTCTGGTCTTTGTCAAAAGACGTGCAGCAGCAGCTTGAAGCATCTGTAGTTTAGATGTTTTATTTTTTGAAAGACCAGAAAGCAGAGCATTACTGTAATCAATCCTGGAGGTAATAAAAGCATGGATAAGTGTCTCTGTATTTGCTTGCGAGAGAAAGGGTCGTACTCTAGCAATGTTCTTGTGATGATAAAAAGCTGTCTTAGAAATTTTTCTGACTCAAAACTGAGATCTGAGTCAAAGATAACTCCCAGGTTTTTCACCTTATAAGAGGGATTCAGTGCCAGCATTCGCAGTTTCTGAGTTTTGAGATTCAGAACCAATGACCAATACTTCTGTTTCTGCAGAAAATGTTCTGCCAAAAAGATTGGATACCGACCGGTCTGTAGTTATTGAGTACTGTAGCATATAAATTATTCTTCTTCAGAATGGGCTTCACCATAGCAGTTTTAAAGGCAGTAGGAAATACACCCATCTGTAGAGAATAGTTCACGATGGTCAGTAGATATTCACTAAAAAAGGCATAAATGTGTTTGTTTTTTTTATATAGAATCTAACAGGTAAGTTGTTGGTTTCAGTAGAGTAACAATTTGTTGTTCTGGTTGTCTGCAATGATTTTGGAGAAGTGTGCGTGTCTTGCATCTCTAACTGCCTTATTATATGCTTTCAACTGTTCTTTCTCCATCGACTTTTTGCACAACGTAAAGAAACCAAACGCTCGAGGAGGTTATGATTTTAATGATCGTAACGATCTGGGTAATTGTGACCTAGCTCCAGGAGTTTTATTGTAAACATCCCGCCATAAATCTCCTTTTTTAAAATCTGTTTCTGACCTTCTTCTTCTTGTGTTGAAACCACCTGGCTTGGTGTGTGGAACAGTAGAGTGCTGCTGACCTGCCAGTCAGATCGACATACTGTCCCTACATTCATGTGCTGAATTGCATCTTGCGGACACATAATTTCTGGAGACGTGCACAACCTACGCTCCAAAGGAATGCAGGATACGCTGATATAAAATCAGGAATAGTCTCTCAGTTTGCTGCTCTGGTGTTGTGGAGCCTGATGGCTGATGGCACAAATGAGCCTACAAAGTGCTTTGAGGCTTGGGGCTGAAGGAGCTCCTGAGCTGGCTCAGCTCGGCATGGAGAGGATGAGAGAGGTTGTCTATGATGGTTTTCAGCTCTCAGTCACTGCCTCCACACTGTCCAGTTCCATCCCCACCACCGAGCTGGCCTTTCTCAACCTCAGCGACAGTTCAAAAAGACACCTTGAGGACCCTAGGGTGGATGTCGTCAGGTCCCCTGGCCTTGTCGATGCGGGTTCAGGTGAGCTGACGTCTCACCTGAACCCTAAGATGGTCCCCCCCCTCCACCCCTCTGCTGTTGTTCTGCCGCAGCTTCCCCTCGATCCTGTTCTTGTGAGAGCCATTAGCCCTCCTGAGCGCTCTCTTCAGCTCCCTCTGGATTGCTTTCTTGGCCTCTTCGGTGTCCTTTGCCATGAATCTTTTTCTTGTTCAACAGAAATTTTATGTCTCTGTTGATCCAGGGCTTGTTGTTGGGGAAGCAGCGTATCCTTTTGGTGGGGATGATACTGTCCTCACAGAACCTGATGTAGTCAGTGACAAATTGGGCCAGACCCTCAATCACTGTGATCCTGTTAGAACATTTCCCAGTCCACTGTCCTGTAGCACTCCATGAGGGCCTCCCCTGAACACTGTTGCACAGTCCTGGTGGTGATAGGCTGTCTCCTAACAGCAGGCTTGTGCGTGTTGGAGTCAGCAGAAACAGACAGTGGTCAGATTTGCTAAGAGGGGGCAGTGCGGTGGCGCTGTATGCCTCCTTAACATTAGGTGCGTTGGACTTCATGCGGGGCGGAACAGCGCTGGCTTAATGTGATGCATGCTGGAATTAAAATAAGGCATGCTGGTTAGAAATTGTGTCCAACTTTTGCCGGCGCTGCAAAACGTCACCATGTCACATGACATCAAAGCCTCGCGGTAGCAAGGCGACTACTCCCCACCCCGACTACACAAAGTTGGAACCACACTATTGCCTGGTCTCGCAGTATTATTCTTTGCAAATACCTCGAGATCGGTCATTGATCTCAGCTCACAATAAGCTCACGCAGGTAGAATATGTCCGACTTGACGGCGCTGTTTTTATACCGCGCCCCTGCAGTCACCTGCAGTCATAGACTGTATAAAGCAGTTCATATTAGACTTTCAAGGCGAAAGTCAGCCGCCCTCATCTCGAACGCAACTATTGGCATACAGCAGATCCAGGGTCTTGTTTCCTCTGGTGTTACAGGTAACGTACTGTTTGGAGTTGGTCAGTTTTGGCATGGTTTCATAGCTCCTCAGAGATCGCTGCTCGCTCCTCAGTCCTCAGAGTACAAATTGAGCGAGATTGGGACGGTTTGCAAGATGACGGAGAAGAACAACTTCCTGTTTTGAGCAAGGAAACGACACATAAGGGAATTGAGAAGCACTGTTACATCCCGGTGGCATCCAGGGGATGTGGGACTAACAGCTAATTAGAATTCCCAGGGTGGAAAGTCAAGCAGGTGACACAGGTTCAAGTTTTAACAGAAATGTATTAATTACCAGGCAGTAAACGGAAAGCAATGTCCACTGAAGATGGTTAGGGGACAACTAAAGCAACCCCTGGCAAAAGTAAGGGACTTTGATAATCACAACAAAAGTTATGGGGGGGCATCTGTGAAATAAAGAGACGAGCTTAGTACACAACACTCTATCTGTGGCGAGAGCCCATCTGTAAAATACCCCACCCTCCAATAAACAGGACAATCTATTACTGTTTGATCTGGCTCACCGGAGTCCAACCGGCATCATGACCGTATAACCTGCATCTTGACACGGAAGGAGGACGCCGGCTCCTTTAGTGGCGGCCGCTGTGTCTGTGTGCCGCCACTGCAGGAGCTGGTCTTCTCTTATGCCACATCTTACCGTCCGCTTCTCCGACACTGCCCACTGCTTCCCACAGCACAGCAGATCACAGCTGACTAATCAAACAATCAGCTGCAGCTGCGAGTATGGTGTCACGGCACATGGAGAAAGAGAAAACACCCAAAAACCAAACAATCCCCAACACAGGACCTCACAGGACGTAACAAGCACCCATGATCTTTCCTAAACCTAACCTAGTAGGTTTGTTGTCTAGTTTGTCTTAAAGAGGTATGACATCACCAGCTACGGCAAGTGCAGAAAGACCAAACTCAAAAAACTCTCAATTGTAAAGGGAGCTTGACAATGTGGTATCCGAACGATAATGCTGCGATGATGTGTTGAGAAGAAATCCGCACATATGTTATACACCACAACAACAATAACAATAGTGAAAACAGAAAACAGTAGACTTTCCAGCCTTACTGTTCTGTCAGGCCTCGTGTCTGTGTCCTCTCACAGTCCGAAGACATAGGTTTATTAGAGACCAACTTGTATAAAGGTGTGACCTCAGTATGTGTCAGCCTTGTAGCTCTGCAAAACCTGGTCAGTTATGTAACTTTGAGACTAAACATAAAGCCTATTTCCTGCCAACTGTGTGAGAGAAAACCACAACAGTGCTACAGAAAGAGGCAGGAGGTGGGTTTTACTTAGTGTGAGTGGTAATCGTTAATGTTACTGTAAAATGGAGGTGTCCTCTTTACCGTGGCTGCTGGGTAAGTAAAAATATGCTTAATGTGTGTCTCCATGTTGTTTTAAAGATTAGTTTAGAGTTAGAAAACATTTCTGGTGTTTCTGAGAGCAGCAGTGAGTTATAGCGTGAATACAGCCAAATGGATCATGTACATTTTAGCTACAACAAGAAAGCTGGAATTTCAGTGATCATTATTTGGTAATATGGAACAATAAAACAGCGAGTTTTCATTTTCAAACAATACGTAGTTATTTGAATTCTTACAATATATGATGTGAATGATGTTCTACAGAGGAGAACATTATTGTAAATTAAACAAAAATAATAAATGAGTTGAAATGAACCTGTCGATCAATCTGTCAATCATTCACATGAATTAGTCTTTTAGTTCATCAGTTAATCAGTTTAGTCAGATGTGATAACTACATGTTAAAGCTTGTGTAAAACAGTAAAACAACAAACAAACACCAAACTTCAAACACTTTGCAATCAAAGGAGCTGTAGCCTTTTTAAGTCTTTGATTAACCCTTTGGAGTCTGCATGTCTTTTCTGCACTTGAACAGCTCATCTGCTTTTACTTACTGCTGTCCAAGCAAGGATTTAAAAAACACTGAATGTGTCCTTCAATAAAAATAATATGTTGTTTCCATATCTAATATCAATGTGTGTCTGTTCACTACAAGCAGGTTGTTCTGTGTTGTAGAAAGTCCAGATGTCTTGTTGCATGTAAAACCTCAAACCAACCTGAGTGTGATTTCTCTTTAGTTCTGACCTCACTGCTGAGCTGCACAACAAACCAAGGTGAGCAAACGTCTTCTGTCACAGCTGAAAAGTTATTCACTCCCTGATCGAACAGTTAGTGTTTAGGACAGTGTTTGTGGAGGGAAACAGCCACTTTACAAGTACAATAAAACACTGAATGCAGTTTTGATGCCACAGTGTTGCAGACTGGAGCCAAAGTTAAAACTGCTGCTATATAAATGTAATTCAGACACTGCACAGCAGGATGCAGCGGCTACAGAAGAAGTGGAAAAAGAAAAATATATTTACTTTATTTATATATAATATATTTATAATATATTTACAAGTAGGACACATGTAGCCAGATCTTAACCAACATTGAGTTAAATTTGAAAACCGACAAAACGTGTCTGTCGGCTCATATCTGAGTTTGATTCGGATTTCTTCTCTTCCTCTAGCCTCTCTGACTGTGAGTCCCAGCAGCTCTCAGCTGTTTAAAGGAGAGTCTTTCTCTCTGAGCTGTGAGGAGGACGACAGCTCTGCTGGATGGACACCGAGGAGGAACACGACCACAGAAACCAGGACTCAGTGTGATGACTGGGGAGGAGAACCAGCTGGTTCTTCATGTTACATCAGCTACATCACTGCATGGGACAGTGGAGTTTACTGGTGTGAGTCCAGAGAGGGAGCAACCAGTAACACCATCAACATCACTGTCACTGGTAAGATCAGACTGCATTAATCTAATGAGCCAGATCAATAACAAACACAGGGGCTGTGATCACTGTCTCAGTGTTATTCTTACTTTGCTAAAATCAAAAGCAAACATTTAACCTCAAAGAGGAAGAAATACAGATGATTCAGAAGCTAACCAACACTGGATGGAGCACTGAGTAGCCAAGGGATGAGACTGAGGGGCTTAAAATCCTGTATTTGTATGGTTCAAAACACCATACATAAAGATTTCTGCATGTTTGCTTCATTAGGTCATATGAAAAGAAATCTACCTAAATATTCATCAAATATTTAGTTTTTATGTGTTTACTGAGTCAAGAACAGGGCAGAGTGACTGGAGGCTCAGAAAAGGTGGAGAACAAAGCTGAAACTAACACATTGCCGAGTTTGATGGCAGGAAAGCAGACAGTAACAGTTTAACTCAGTTTCACACCTCCTCCTCCTTCCCCACCACCTCCCTACTTATGTGCTAACATTTTGACAAACACAGTAAGATACAAAAACACTTTAAAAGAAACATTTCACAAAGCATGAGCAATGTAACATTTATCATACCTTGCTTGACTTAGAAGCACATTCCCCTCTGGTGACTGGAATCTATATTTTCAAACATTCATGGTACATTCATATAAAAAAAGGCTAAAATCTTGTTTAAAACCATCTTAAATATACCTGTGATTTAGCTAATGTGTACAATCAATCCCTCCAAGTTTTGGACCCTCACCCCCATGAAGACTCTAATAAATAGAAGGTTTTTAACAATTATTTAACTTGTCTTTAATAAAATGAACTACAAATTATTCTAGGATCTAGATCTGGACATGCAGTATTAGCCTTGGATTTTTAAACATTTTTTAAAAAGTAAAACCTATTTAAAAATAAAGCCTACCCAATCAAGCACCAAACAAAGGCTGGCCTTAGCTGCTCTCTCAGGTGTGTGACTGCAGAAAGAAAGGACCAGGTGATCTTCCCTCCCCTATTTATAGACTCTGCCCCTTTGGCTGGGTCCTAGTGCTAGACCTCTGTTGCCTTCCCTATCACACAAATGAACTTGCTTCCTTGCCTAAAGGTGCTTTCAGACCAAAAGTGAAGTGAGCATTGGGGGAGGTGCGAGAAAAGAAAGAAAGAAAAGAAGTTGAACTACCTGGTGAGTTCAGGAACTGTGTGTCTGTTATTTCCAGCTATCGTTGTACTTTACAGTGAACAATTTAGCATAGCATAGCCCTGATTGATCCAAACTCCATTCAGAAAACAAACATTTTAGAAGTTGTTGCCCTGCTGTCTTGCTGACAGACCTGACAAAGCATGAATTCATATGTTTAACAAATCTGCATCATGTTGTAGTTATTTCTTATTTTATCTTTCTATCTTTATTATCAGTTTGATCTGTTTATTGCTATTTAATCACAGCAAATTGTTTACTTTGGGTTCATTTAGCTGTAGTAATGGCGAGTTGTGTTTCTTCACGATATCGCGTTGTGTGTGAACACTTGGTAGTTGTCCAGTGATAAAACCCCTGCAAGAAAAATGAGGATTAAATTCCCGTTTGGTCTGAATGCAAAAGTGGACACCAGCTCTGCTTAGATATACACTAATTAGTAGATTACATAAAAAATATGGTTATCTTTCAGCACTTGCACCTCTTAATTACCCTCATAGTCATTAACTGCAACAATAAAATGTACAACAAAAGTTCTTTCTTACCAGAGCCAGAAGGGACAAAAGCACCACAGTCCAGACTGTGGAGTTAGTGTTGATGAAGCTGTGTGTAAATGATGAAATGCTGTAGTTTGTCTCTGTGTTGAGGTGGACCAGTGATCCTGCAGAGTCCTGTCCTCCCTGTGATGGAGGGACATGATGTCACTCTGCACTGTAAAACAAAGACCCCTCCCTCCAACCTCACAGCTGGTTTCTATAAAGATGGCTCCCTCATCAGGACTGAGTCTACAGGTCACATGACCATCCACCATGTTTCCAAGTCTGATGAAGGCCTCTACAAGTGTAACATCAGCGGTCATGGAGAGTCTCCATCCAGCTGGATCTCTGTCACAGGTGAGGAGGTTACCTTTGATTTCAGGACTTATTTCATCCAGAGATTCACCTGACCAGGTGGATTCTCTCTACAGGTAAACCTACAACCACAGCCCCGCCCCCAACATCAACTACTCTCTTTGACCTGACACCCTCTGAAGCCCTTCCTCCTCCATCGCCCCCTGCCTCAGACCCCCTCCAGCTTGTGTTCAGACTGATCTACCACCTGGTGGTCTTCTGTCCGTACTTCATCTCCACTGTCCTCATGGTGTCTTTATATCGCCACAGGGCCACAGGTAACACTCTGAATCATTCACTGACCTTACAATCAATCAGTCGGTCTCTCAATTGTGTTGACGATTGACAGTTGTCTCTAACAGATAAATGATCTACATTTTCTTTCTAACCTGCTCTGACTGAAGGAAATGACCTGCCCATCTCCATGGTGATGACCCCGCCCAGTCAGGCTAAGGAGGGATTGGACGATGACTGTGATGATGTCATCACTGCTGTCACCACAGAGCATCACTTCTGAGCTGATCCAGTGTGTTCAGTGTGTTCTGGTTCTTAATGAAGCTAAAATGTTTGAGTCATCAGCAAATAAACCTCAGATTTCCTTCATAGATCACAAACAGCAGAGGACCCAGAACACTTCCCTGTGGAACTCCTCGTGTTCTAGTTTGACTTGTAGATGATGTTGAACTCAGCTTTCACTTGGTCCAAATGAACATCTAGTAGAGATGCCACAACCAGTTGCAAGCTGGACAATGTGGCAAATGCATCCATGGTGGTCCTGGACATTAGGCTAGCTTGCTCTTAGTTTGCTAATCATTGAAATATTTTTGTCTTTCACTTGTATTGTCAGTTAAAGCCAATGATGTTCTCAGGAAGGCCTCTTATGTAATTGGAAATGGGAAATCCAAAACAATATGCCCACAATTGCAACATAACCTTAGGAAGTGTCACGGGTTTGGGTTGGTTGGGTGTGTTTTGTTTTGTTTGTTTCTGTGCTCATTCCCTGCCTTTGTGTTTGTTCTTGTCTGTAGTGTGTGTATGTGTTACTTTGGTCATTTGTTTAATAGTCAGGTTTACTTGTTATGAGTTCATCAGTGCTTCTATTCTTGTTCTACTGTCTCTATGCTCTTTATTTCTGTATTGTAAGCAAGTCACTTACGTTGTCTGTGTTATGTTTCATTTTGTGACATTGTTCCTTATGTGTTTCAGTTAGCTTTACTTCCTGTTTCAGTTTGTAGTTAGTCTGCCCTAGTGTCTCTCGTTTTGTTTTACTTCCTGTGGTTGTCCTTAATTGTCTTAGTGGTCTCACCTGTTCCATCTCGTTGTCTGCATTTGGGCCCACAACCCCTGAACAGCTGAACGTTACAGGAAGTTTAGAAACTAGTCTATTCTTTGTTCATTCTGCACTGCAGCAGCTAATAAGGGACAGGCTGGAGTAGAAAACAAACTTACCTTTCTCAATACAGCAATGTATTTACAACATAAAGAATTATTGCGGCAGTAACACAGGAGCGGCCTGTTGAATTAAGTAGCGTAAGCCTACATATTAGAGGGAGACCTGTATGTCACACGTAAAGCCCAACAGGACAGATTCACTCACCAGTATTTGCTCTCTCCCTGTATACCTCAAATGATTGTTTCCTGAATAAATAACAGAGCATGCTGAGTAAAAGCCAAGATCAGTTTCACTGGTGACATTCTGTTTAATGAATTAAATGTTGGACATCGCTATAAAACAAATGGCCACCAATGAGAGACGGGAAAAACAAATAACAGTCTGATTTTTAGTTTTAGCAAATTCCAGTTTTGGTTTATCTATTTGAAGAAAGACGTTAAGAAAAGCAAGACAGGTGGGTCAGGTGACCCAGAAGTAAAAATAAAGATTTAAAAATAAAAGCCAGTAATAATGACCGTTCTATAACATTATGCAAGCACTATACAATGGAGCATTTTAATAAATACATAAATTAAACTGGACCAAGGGAAGTATGCAAGGAACAGAATAATTCACCAATAATTAAGATACACAAATCTGTTTTTTGTCTAATCTTTGGTGTTCAGTGAAATCATTTTCACAGTTAATGTAATGAAACCATGTGAGAAATTTGATGGAAGGTTTAGTGGAGCAGTCAACAATTCGTAGACATTTCAAAAATGATCCTGACTACAGTATTTTTTGTAAGACCTGAAAAGTCATATAGGTTTAAACAACAGGTTTACTCTTTAACTGTGTTTTGCATTTCAAAGACTTGTGGCCTTTTTCTGTAGAGGTGTCAAATGAAGTGGATACATTATCTCCATCTGACATGTAGTCCAGTGGAAGTAGGGTTACAGGTTGCAACAAGTGAAAATACTTAAGTACCTCAAAACGTACAGTAGTTTCCCCCGTTGAGTATGTGTCAAAATATCTGTGATGCAGTTTTGCTACTCATGACATGTGTATCATATGGAACAGACAAATGTCACTTAATTGAAAGTGTTTTCTTGACAGAAAAAGTCGCACAATGTGCTCGCAAAGGGGATATATGCTGCACATAATTAGGTTGCAAGTAATCCATAAACACCAACAACCATAAACTGTTGCTCCAGAACGAGCCCCTTAATTGTTACATCCTCAGGTCCTAAACATGTTTTACCAGAAAAAAATTATTTAGTGCCATGTGTAAAAGGGTCGGTCTATATTACACGCCTCAAGTGCAACCCTCAGGTCTACAGCCCACACTCATTCAGACATTAGCCTACTATAAACAGCAATGCCACAGAAAAAAAGAATTCAAAATGCACTTACAAGCTGTAACAGATTTTACCTTTCTAAACCAACAGTTAGACTAAAAACTTCTGCAGCAGCTCCTGTTTCAAGTGACATCAAAGACAGGTGATTCGATATGTTTTGGCCCATTGTAGGTCTCAGTTTATTTTTAGTCCCAGTTGTGAAAAAGAGCGCTCCCCTCTGGGGTGTCTTCGTTTTCTTTAATAAATTCTCTGAATTGTATAATTTCGTCCACAAAATCGTCCTGCAAGTACGAAGTTCTTGTACAGAGACGGATGGAATATTGTTCACAAATCCAAATGTCTGCCGAATATCTTTGCAGGAGAGATACCTCTGATCCAGTTCTGCGACAAGTCGATCCAAGGCAGCAATAAAAACAGTGGTGCATCCCTATAATAAAACAAGTTACCATAGCGCAGCCCTGATTGATCCAAACTCCAATAGGAAAACAATCATTTTAAAAATTGTCCTGACCTGACAAAGCATCAATTCATATGTTAAACAAATCTGCACTATTTTGATCCATTTATTGCAATTAAATCACAGTAAAATGTTTATTTTGGGCTCTTACTCACGTTGTATGGAACACCAAGCGAGTAGTCCAGTTCAGGGCCGTGCAGAGACCTTTGGAAGGGCAGGCGCTCAAAGTATAAAAAGGGCCACATGGTACAAGGATTTAAATAGGACTCTTCTCATACTATTGACATAGAAATATATCGTTATGTATTCCTTGCTGACACGCATATACAGATGCTTCTTTATCGATACATCAGCAAATGCTGTGACGCAAAAAGAAACAGGGAATACCCAACTCTAGCTTTAAAACACTGTGGGCTGATATAACCTACAGGGAACAGTTGCTATGGATGCGGCTGCTGTTGTGGTGTTGATGATACTACTGGAGGTGATCTGTGACTACAGACATTAAAACAACTATAGGATATATATATTAGCTGATTTAACAATTATGTGACCATGAAAAGATGTAAAGATTGTTGAGTGTTTGGGACTGGCTCACAGTGACTGAGCTGCTGTCATACTGCAGCATCTGCCAAGGCTGACAGCTAGAGAGACGCTCACAGAGCTGCACACCAAGAGCTGCAGGTAGAGGAGAAAAGATACCAGATTCAAAAACATTTCATACATTTTTCTGAAATCTAATAGGGCCGTTTCTTCTTCACTCTTTACTTTGATGTCAGGAATATTATAAAATATTAATTCTAGTTGCAATATTTTAATATATTGCATTGTGAATCACTATGACAATATTGCATACTGTAGACACACAAGCAAGCATCCTCCGCAGGGCGAGGGGGG